ATAAAGGATGGAATCATGGAACAATAGGAAGACAGAACAAGGAAAGAGCAGAAATATGGCCAAATGCAAGAGACTGTACTTCTCATGAGTTTTACAAATATATAACATGCCTTTTTTGTCCATTATGATCTTTTTATCCTGAATCTAATTTTATTAATAAAACATTGTTATCTGGTCATTCTTTTAGTGTATTATATTTATCTGGTGTGTCTTTTTAGTGTCACTTTGTTTTTAACCTTTCTGTGTTGTTTGGTTAACAATATCTTTGTAAAGAACATATTGCTGCATCTGGTGATTTTGTTTGGATTGGTTTGTAATTCATTTAGAGATTGTCTGGCTTTGATGTGTGAATTTGACATTTATTGTGATAAATGATATAACAGGTCTTAGTCTGTTTTCCTTTTACCATTATTTCTTTTTGTTTCTTGTTTTCTTGTTGTCTGGGTTTCCACTGAATAAATTAGTTCTTTTCTTCTGATTTAAATGTTATACACCCTATGTTCATTCTGATATTCATACCTAACTTATTAAAAGACACACCTATGTTTTCTCCCTGCCCTCCCCCATCCATCTATTAAACTTGTGAATATGTACATCCTCCCTCTAATAAAAACAACTAACTTAGCCACGCTCACTGTCTCATTACTACTTTCCACAGGCATCCCCAAAAGCATCACTAAATTTTTAGTTGGATTTTAAGTTTTAAGTTGGATTTATGTACATGTAACTGATGTCACCCTGTCTTTCTACCTCTGCTTCTCATTATTAAGATCATAATAAACTCTTTATTATAACTAATAATAAATAACTAGATTATTTCTTCCCCTTCTTTTTTCTCCCTTCTTTCTTTATATCTTGAAGCATCATCCTGCTTTCTCCTTGCTGAAGTAATTCCTCCAAAGTACTTCTAAAAGTATTTTGTAAGCATGCATAAGAGTATTTTGCCTCATTTACAAGTTACTTAAGTAAAATATAAAGTTCTAGATTCAAAGTTTTATGTTTTACAATTTGAAAATAACATTACATTTCCTTCTTGTACTCAGTATTACTATTGACAAATCAGATTCATTTATTCAATTATTATTTACTGAGGGACCACAAAATGCTAAGCATTGTTTTTGACTCCGAGGATTGAGTTTTGAACTATGTTTCTTCTGACGGGTTTTAGAATTTCTTGTTATTTTTATTATTTATTATTTTTATTACTTTTAATCCCCACCTGAGGATATGTTATTGATTTTAGAGAGAGAGACATCAATCTGTTGCCTCCTCTTTGCTCCCCAACCAGGAATCAAACTCACAACCTTTTGGTGCACAGGGCAATGCTCCAACCAACTGAGCTACCTAGCCAGGGCTTCTATTTGTTTTTGGAGGCAGTCACCTACCTGTGACTGCTGGTTGACCTGTGAGTTGGATCCAGGCAACTGGAGGCTAGTCATCCCGTCATTTCCTGAGAATGTATGTTTTGTGCCCACCATTCCCACACTAGCAGCCATTTCAAGGATGCATCCTTGAGAGAATGTCTCATTGAGACCATTTGAACTGAATATGTGACTGAACCCACTTAAGGACTCTACATAAACTTTTAAGATTCTGGTGGACATGTGCAGAGAATTACCCATCTCTCAGCCACCCAAGACAAGCCATGTGTGTAAGTTCCCTTGCTTATTAAAGTTGCCACCTACTGATCTGGATTTCAGTCTCTCACTGCCACCCATAAGTGGGACCCAGGTTCCAAATTCACCCAAGGAACTCTCAAGACTGTGACCAACACTTACGTTGTTGGATTTTATCATTTGTGGTATCTTTTCATATCATTTCTGTTTGACTTTCTAGGAGCACTTTCAATCTAAGTTCTTTAACTTTTCTTTATTTCTCCATAATTCTTGGTTATTATTTCTTAAAATATTTTCTCCATTTATTCTTTATTTCATTCTAGGACTCTCATATTAATACCTACTATGTCTCCATATTTAACATTCCTTTTACATTTTTCACCTTTTTGAAATTCCCTCCTGATATCTGATTAAAGAGTAGTGTTTTTTGATTTGATAGTTTGTCTTTCAAATTCACTATTCAGTTTTACACATTCTGCTATTCATTGAAGTATTAAATGACTTATTCGACCATTATATTTTTCATACAGTGTTTTTATAAGTTCTTGCTTAATGTCTCATGTCCTCCTTTGTCTCTTTTAAGACAGCTTAACGGTGTGCAAATTGACGGTGGGAGTAGGGGGTGGGATGGGCGGAGAATGGCAAAGGGGGAAAATTTGGGATGACTGTAATAGAATAACAACAAAAAATAAAAAAGAATACATTTCATTCACCCATTGTAAATTGTTCAGTTTACTTTTATTTAATATCAGTAGAATTCTTCTGATTTTTTTTTTCCTTGTGAGCCCATATTCCCTACGCCCAGATTGTAAGCTGGTAATTGTGGAAGGAAGGGAACCAAAAACCTCAAGGTGTTTCCTGTCCCTCCTTTGACTTACCAGGAAGGGCACCAGCTGTAAGTGAAATATATGTATGTAAGTGGGGAGAGGAGGAGAAACTTGGGGAGATTTCAGTTGTTTTCCAAACAGAGAATCTATGGTGTTAGAATCTGGCATGCCACCACCTTTATCATCCTCTTTCTACCAGGTGATTTTTATCCCTCAGGGAACATCTCCATCACTATCTCCTTTTTGCATTGACCATCTGACTCACTGCAGGTATGTGTACATATGTGTGTATCAGAGTGGGAGAAAGGTGAATAAAACCCTTTGAAATGGGTCCACTTTTATCTATTAGTATCTACTACTTTCCCAGCCCAGCTCTAAGGCTACACTGCAGTGGTGCTAGAGTGGGAAAGATGTACCTAAGGCAATGCAGGGATGAACAGAAAGTAGCACAACAAAACACTAAAAAAAAAAAATCCACCCCACACTCCCTATAGCACTTCCCCACAGTCCTTTGTGGCATCGAGGAGTCTTCCACTGTGGTTGTCTTCTCTTATAATCTACACACACACATACACATCCTAGGACCAACTATAGCCATGTGTCCCAGAGTTTCCAATGAATTTTCAATAGTTTTGTAATCCAACAACCTCCTCCTTCTAGAGGATCTCCAGGTTGGGTTTGAAGAAAGGAGGTGGCAACTTAAGGTAGGATACCTGATCTTTAATCACCTGGTAGAAAGAGGATGGTAAAGGGGGTGGTATACCAAATTCTAATACCATACATTCTCTGCTTGGAAAACAACTGAAATCTCTCCAAGTTTCTCCTCCTCTCCCCACTTACATACATATATTTCACTTACAGCTGGTGCCCTTCCTGGTAAGTCAAAGGAGGGACAGGAAACACCTTGAGGTTTTTGGTTCCCTTCCCTCTACACATTACCAGCTTACAACCTGGGCGTGGGGAATATGGGCTCACAAGGAAAAAAAATATCAGAAGAATTCTACTGATATTAAATCAGTAGATTTACCTGCATTAGTTATCTTTGTCTACATATCACTATACACTTAGTGGCTCAAAAAAGCATACATTTATTATTATCTCACAGTACCTCTGAGCAAAGGTCTGGGCACAGCTTAACTGGGTCCACTGAAGCTGGCTATCGAGATGTCAGCCAGGATTGGGTTCTCATGTGAAGGCTCTAGCAGAAATGATCCACTTCCAAGCCCCTGTGAGTTGCTGACAGGGTTTAGGCTTTTACCCACAGCTCCTTGCTATGTGGGCCTTCCAAATGTTAGGCCTTCCACTTCCACTTCCTTCATCAAAACCAGCAAGAAGTCTCCTAGCAAAACAAGCATTAGAATATGTCACCTTTGCTGTGGTCTATTGTTAAAAGTGATTGCCAGATGCACATTGACTGGGTAGCTCAGTTACAGTGTCACGCTGGGTTAAAAAAAAAAATTCCATGTCTGTCTGCTTCTCTCAAGTGCTCTCCCCTGTCACTCCAAAATCAATTAAAAAAATTAAAATAATGAGTCAAAGATCCTACCCACACTCAAGGGGATGGGGTGCAGGGTGAAATTAAACAAGGGTGTGAATACCAGGAGGCTCACATAATGGGCACTGGATAAGGGTTGGCATCTCAAGAGAACTAAAATCATCTTTACTCAAATTTTTTGAAAGCCATTAAAGGATTTTAGGCAGTAAAGTAACAATATATTCTTGTTGTATAATGACCAGTGGCCAGAAAGTGTGGAGAATAGATTGGTGGAAAATAAAACTGGAGTTAGAGAAATCAGTTAGTGAAATGCTGGTGGCTAGAACTAAGATAATGCTAGTATGGGAATAGAGGACGATGGACAAATTGGAATTACTTAAGAAATAATAAGTAGGACTTAGTGATAAATAGACAGTGAGACAGAGAAGAGTTGAAGGTATTCTCATTCTTGCTTTTAAAATGGATTTGTGAAGAGGAGGGGCAGTTGAAACACTATGAGCTTGAGGGGGGCAGGTTTGTCCACTAACAGGATGAGACTGACTATGCTCCTTTGAGAGAACCACCTCTTTTGTTTAATTTAAATTAATGGCTATGCCTGCTTAAAAGAATCTCTTGCTCAAATTTATTGAAACTGCTTGACTCTTTTCAACTTACCTATTTCATACGTGAATTTTCAGTATTACAGTAGTCCTTGGATGGATGCACTAACATCGATTTGCGTGTACAACCCCTATGTTCTTAAAAACACACCTTTCATCTCACTTGAAGGCAAAGGAGTTTGGGGAGGTCAAAATTATGGAAAAGCCACAGGCTCCTCTAATACATCTTACACTTAGATTAATTTAGGTTGAACTCTTCGGCAGCCCTGAGCACTGGGCTGTAGTCCCCACGTGCAGAGAAACGCGGCTACTCACACCGACTCGGCTCCAACTCTCCGTCGTTACTGTTCTCTCAGGCTGTGTAGATCCGACACAGACAACCGACGGGAGGCGCATACTCTCGCGAGGAGAGGGCTGAGCTTTCGCATTCCCCAATTGCGCCACGCGTACTCCCACCTGCGGAGAAACGGAATTTGGCATCTGGGAATCGTAGTTCTGAGGCTTTCCAGAGGCTCCCCCGGACTAGCGCCCTCCTTCTTACGCATGCGCAACTCCATGCTAGCCCGAGAAGTTCGTAGCCTTTGTCCAGCCTGGATGGGAGGTGAGTTGGTCTATCTGAGGCTGCTTTTCTACGATAGGCTTCGGTGGTGGCCCCGGGGCAGCGATCTGTGCTGAGTCGGGGCTGGAGTGCGCTTGGGTGACAGGGGCCTCGAGGGCAGATCATGAGCCCCATCCCCTCACCCTCCGGCCTGAATCCCTCCGGCGGGTGCCGCCTCTCGGGGACTCGGGTGCGAGTGCTGTGCCTTTGGAGCACGATGGGCGGGGCGCGGGGCACTCGAACCCGGCCGGTTTTTTCTACACACCTTGCACCTCCGCGGCAGCCCCGGTACCATCTCTCCCAGCAGCTCGGTCCCCTCAGGTACAGCTCCAAGCGGCAGAAACAGGCATCTGAGGATCCAGTCTCAGGGATGCTGTCCCCGGGCTTCCAGGTGCCACCCTCATAGGACTGAGGAAGAAACTGGACCGGACCTGATCCCAGCCTTTCCGCAGAGCCCCCGGAGGGAAGGCAGGAAGGAGAACTGGGAAGCCTCTGTCCAGATAGGTCTGAACTGAGGGGGCAGGGAGATCAGAATCTTCAGAACCAGGCGGATTGGTGATCATGGAGAGAGATTTGGCCAAAATGCCGGAGAAGAGAGGTGAGAATTGTTGAAGTGTTGACTCGAGTTGTGCCAGGGCGAAATTCTTCCTGAAGAGAAATCATTGTTGCCTCAGGGAGGTGATTCTTGGCAGACAGCCCTACCAGTCTCCTTTGTCTGGGACGTGGATGGGCTTCTTGAGTGAGAAGGGAGGGCTTGGTGTGGGAGCATCCCCCTCTCCACTGCAGCTGAGTGCACAGTGATCCTTCAAATCCACCCCGAAAATGCGGGCGAAATGTTACCCTCTGAGGTAGCAAAGCCTCAATTACAGTTCCTCACACGTTCTTTTTGTCAAACTATCAGTGAGGCTGAGAATTTAGCTTCTTGGTTGGCAGAAAAAAACACATTTTCCCACATCTGTTATTTCACTTGGCACAATAATCTTATGATTTCAGTAGTGCAAGTACTTTTGTTTTGAGTAGTAGAAAACAGGCATAGAAGTCAGTAACTGACTAGCCCAATCTTTCTTGAAGTTTGGTCTGTGACCTCATGTCAGAATTACCCCTAGGTGCTTATTAGATTTCTGGATTGCACCTCAGACTTAATTAATAATATTTAGAAGTGGGATCCAGTAATCTACATTTTAAATAAGCTTACGGGGTGTTTTTTGAGAAGTGAGCCTGTTTTTCTTATAGTAATTTAATGTAGATTAAGCTTGGAAATAAATCGATTCATTCTAATTTCTAGATTAGAGTACTGCCTACGAGTAGGTGTTATTATTATAGCACAATGAATTTAAGCTCCCAAGTAGCAACATACCTGGACATTCTCGAGGATCCATTTGGATCCTCCCTTCAAGTTGCAGTGTTTGTATGGAGCATCATTAGTATGATGGAGTGATTTTTACCTTGTAAATCTGAATCAAGATAGATTTAAATCTCATAATGACTGCTTTCTTGCCCTTAGCTCTGTTTTCCCAGAATTCTTTTTCCCAAGAGAAGAGCACAGAAAAGGGAGAAGTGGCTGCTCTGCGCCTCACAGCCAGATCCCAGGTAAGTGAGAGTCTGCTGATTGTTGAAATTCCACCTTATTTCTCAGAGCACAAGCACACTTCCTTCTCTCTGATGTGGAGTTTCTGTGTTCACCAGAGCCCATCTGGAGAGCTGAGTTCTAATTCTAAAACTACTCAGGCAGCTAGTGGACTCACTACAGAATGTTTTCTACTGACCAATGGTGTCTTCTTCATCTAGTATAACAGGCATGTAAGGAGCATTACCCTTCTTTAGACTATTATGCTGATTTCTGAGCTTGGTGATTTAGGAAACTGTTTTAAAAGAAAATGGGACATATCTTAAAACTTATGTTTCTCTAGGGGAAACAATATACACATGACTGTTAAGTAAGAATTTGAGAAAGCACCTTTCGTGCTGAAGTGAATACGAAAATAATAAATACTCAGAAGTTCGAAGGAGTGCTTAAAAAGGAAAGCCTATGGAAGGCTTACTTTAAAGAGTTAAAATCTAGCTGTTCAAGATGATGAATGCTGAAGTTTAGAATTGAAGCAACTTTCCAATCTCTCCTACAAGAACAAATATTAAGAATTTTTTAATTTAAGTTCTGGTTGTACTATATGGGTGATTAATATATTATTCATTTAACTACTTGTACATTTGAAATCTTTTTAAAAATATTTTATTTATTTGTTTTTAGAGAGAGGGGAAGGGAAGGAGAAAGAGTGGGAGAGAAACATCAATGTGTGGTTGAAATCTTTATTAAAAGAAATTGGATAAGAGAGAAGAGTTCTCCATGATGTGTGAGGCATGCTACAACCCAGAGATTCATGAATTACCCTTTGTCTTTGCTACTGTAATCCCAAGTCTAAAAAGTACACATAAAACATTGGTATCATTTGTAAAAGTGACTTCTTAGGATCCTTATATACTTGCTTGTCTTCATGTTTCTCAGCTGCATTACGTTAGTATTAAAGACTATTAGTCAAGAAGCTTAAGTTGCAGCTGATAAAAGCTCAATTCAAACTGATGTAAGTAAAAAAGGGCGCTTATTGATTAACATAACTCAAAAATCCAGGTCTGACTAGAAATAGTTCTCAGTAGTAACATTAGAACCTATTTCCCCCATTTCACTGTCCTTTTCTTTTCTCTATCGGTTTTCCTCTTAAGCAGGTTTTTCTCCTAGCACTGGACCTTACCAAACCTAGGGTTCCATCTTCCCACACTGAAGATCAGAGACAAAAGGCAGCTTCCCTCCCAGTCATTCCAGCAAAAGTTCGGGGATTAACTCTTTAATGGGTATTAAGCCATTCTTAAGCTGGTTATTCTCCAGATCTAAGTGTAGTTCTCTAACTGGGCAGACCTATGGAATATATGTGTGCACACACACACATAGAAACATATACACCACCCATGAGTCAGAGATGGAATTAATACTATCTGAACTACACTGGCCAGGCATGGCAGCAGAATATAAGTGCCAGAGAACACTGGCACTTCAAGACTTTAGAGAATATTTAGAATATTTAGGATTCAAGACTGTTAGAGCCTCAAGGTAGATTAAAACCTTTTATGGAAAATTTAAAAAATTTCTTTTGTCCTTTTTGCATTGCATTAGATTTGGTGTGATGCTAATATTACAACTACCTTATTAAATTTGCCTGGACTAGTTTTTGTTGACTTTTTAAAAATATTAAAGTTTTAATTTTTGGTTATTAGAATGAAGTGAACAGCACAGATGTAGAGAAATATGAAAGTAATATTACTTCCCTCCCCAAATTCAGTCCCCTGCCTCTCCCTGAGGATAACAGTTTGATGTATATTCTTCCATATGCTTTTGTTGAACTCACAATACTGTATTCAGGCCAGTGATATTTCCTATAATTTCTCCCACCCCTGTCCCTAATTTTGGGGTGTTTTTTAAGGGTGTCTTTGTGTAAACAGGATTTGGCTTTTTTTTTTTTTTTTTTTTTTTTTAGTTTTAAAGGGAAACTCATTCACATTAATATGATTCCTTATATGTTTCAAATTTTTCTTGCCATATGATTTTTATAATTCTGTTTACTGTGCTTTCTTTGTATTTTTTTGCCTTTTGTGCAGTGGTTTGCATTTTTGTTCTGATTTTTTTCTTCTAGTGGTCAAATTTCTGTTGAGTGTCAGTTTAGCTATAGATACGCAGATTGTAAGATCAGTCATTTTTCCTCAAAATTTCTTGCCTACTTAGTGGCTACTTAGTAATTTACATTTTATTTTCTATGGATGATTCTTGTGTTTTTAAGGCCCAGATTCTTTCTATTTTTGGAAACTGTTTTTGAAATAATTTAAGACTTGAAGGAATGTTATAAATGTTAAAAAGATTTCTTATATACTCTCCATTCATAGTCTCTAAAAGTTAACATTTTACCTTGCTTTATTTTTATTTTCCAAAATCAGGAAATTAGCATTGATATAGTACTATTTTTCTTGTCTCTCCCTCAATTTCTGGTTTTGCCCTGTAATTCTTTCTTTTTTCCTTAGTTGTTTGTTCTTTCTCTAACTTGACTTGTATGCTTTGTTCATTTATTTACATTATTTTTTAATGAAATGCAAGTGTTTAAAGCTATGATATTACCTCTGAGTACAGTTTTAGCAATTTGTCATTGGTTTTGCATTTTATTTTATTATTTTGATATTCTGATGTGTTTTAAATAATCAGTTATTGCTTTGTTCTGTTTATATTTTGGGCTTTATTTAAATTTTGTTACTTTTGCAAATGCTTTATGAATGTTTAAGTAGGTGTTTCCTATCCAGTTATAACATTTGATATATATTCATTTCAACAACCTTAGAATATTATTCCCATTCTCCATGGTTTTATTTAAAAAGGCATGTAATATTTATATGTGTCTGCCTCCTTACAGTTTCGTATTTTTTTGTCTTATATAAACTTAATTCTATGATATTTACACATAAACATGTGTGAGTTTTACCTGTCCTCTTAATCAATTTGTTGTCATCATTTTTCAGTTAATGTTTTTGGCCTTGAATTCATTCCATGCATGATTGGATGTGGTGCTCAGTGTCCGTTGTTTCATTCCATGACTTCTCTGTTCACAGGGCTTGTACTGCAGTTCATCTTCTGATTAGATTGATTCAACAAGTTTTTAGTGAGGACTCACAAGGAAAGTTATACAGACATGTCTTTTTTCCTCCTTGAGTCATTGGTTCATGTTTTAACTCTTTATTCCCCAGAAATATTATAGTGGAGAATATTATAGTGGGGAATATTGTATTCCCCAGAAATATTTCTCAGTGGAGAAACCATAGTTATATTTCTTTTGGTTCTCATACTGAACCTAGCACAGCATGCCTGGCACATAACTGATAGCCGGTGACTTTAGAGAATATTTAGAATCTGAATACTGTTAGAACACTTGTCGTATTCCTTTTTGAATGTATTCAATCCCTCTGCTCCAGGGCTACCAGCAACTGGTGGGGGGCAGGGGGCGTGAAAGGGATGCTATCAAGTGAAAGATGGTGAACGAAAGTATGTTTTGTGTCTTAGGCATCCGTGACATTCAAGGATGTGGCCATGGACTTCACCCCAGAGGAATGGGGGAAGCTGGATCCTGCACAAAGGGATGTGATGCTAGAGAACTATAGGAACCTGGTCTCACTGTGTAAGGATGGGTTCTTTCTGTGACTCTGCAGCCCGATAATGGGGACATATTACTTTATTGGAAGTAAAATAACTTAATAGAGTCTTCACTTTTCTGTTCAGGAGTCATAAAGCATTAATCCCTTAGGTCCCAGAGAAAATCTAGTTCTAAGTTCTTGGTGAACTGTCTGCTTGGTTTCTACTAGAATTCTCTGGATTCAAGTGACAGAAACCTAATTCACACTAGCTCAAAAAAGGGAAAAATGTTTCTTTTCACCGATTTTTTTTAAAGTCTTTATTGTCAGTTAAATAAATTTATCTATTTTTAAAGAAAGATAAGCTTTTTCCCAACTAGCTTCTGGAATTGAGTAACAGTTGATGGCCTTGATCCTGCCTGTTTTTCAGATGGTCCTGTTTCATTTTTCCCCTTACTTCTAAGGTACAGTGCTTAGCCCTAGGGAAGGGAAATTACTTTTAAGGTATTACTCTTCTTAGAAGTTTTGTTTGGCCTTACAGGTTTTCAACTAAAAGCCTGCATTAACAGTTTATATTGATATGGAATAAAGTACAACTTCGGTTTCTAGAAATCTAATTTTAAAAATCTCTCTTCAGCACTTTATCCCCCTAACTGTTGTATTCTACTGGCTAACTTAAAGTGGTGATTTTCATATGTACAGCTCAAGACTCAAAAAAAATTAAATGGTATTTGCATATAGATTTTAGTGGTCTTTCTCTATAGGTACTCCCTGTATTGGCTGTTTCTTAAATCACAGTCATTTGATAGAACTAAATTGCAGTCTCTCCCTGCAGCAGTAAGACTGTTGCTTTTTACTTATACTGTACTGCCCACACCAGGATTTGGAAATATCAAGGTGAATGTGAATGCTACATATGTTTGCTTCTGTCGAGTACTGTAGCCCAACAGTTACTGCCCATTTATGCCTTCAAAATGTGGTTTTACGAAGTTAATTTAGGTTATTTACTTGTCTTTCTGCAAAAGAGTTAATCTATTAGTATGTTGATGGGAGGTAGGAAAAAATGGGGTGTTTTGATCTGATTAAGCTCGCTCTTAGCTGAGCATTGTGAATCTGGATTATAAGGTATGGACTTTATAAATATTTCTGTCTTCCTTCAGTCATAATTCTGGGCCTAGTGTGTATTCCTACCCTTCTCACAGGAGTAAATACTTCTTCTATTTTTCCATTCCCTTCTCCCAGATGCACTGGGTTTCCACCACTGTGCCCAGGTAGCAGTCCATCCCCTGGCAGTGAAGGCTTCTGCTAATTAAGAGATGAGTCTAGGTATATGCTAGATTCCATTCCCCAGGGGGAACAAAATCTTCATTCAGGGAATCAAATATATTATCAGGAATTAATTTTTTTTAATCACATGGTTTGGCTTTGCCCTGTATTGGCTTTATTCTTAGGACCACCCCATGTGGCAGCGATGGCCACTGGCAGCTCTATGCTTATATTATCCTTCCAGTTAGAAAACTAAGGGAAAAAAGGTAGTGCTTCTATCCTGGGAGTTTCAACAAATAGGGTCACATGTTGGTCAGTGAAACACAATTACTAGAGCCAGGGAAATAGGGTACTCTGGCCAGTCTGGACCCTGTGACCACCTGCATGTGTGTGTACACATGTGCAGATGTGTATGTGTGTGTTTGTATGTACATGGGAAGTTCTAGTAACTAAAGAAGGAAGGAGGAAAAAGCGGAAGACAGTTCTAGTTACCACAGTCACAACTTTGTGGTACTGCTGCTGAGTTGGCAGCACCTGAGGTCCTATTTTCTCCAGCTTCTTCCCTAAGCCAGGGATTGATCTCCAGTGTCTCCCTAGAACTTCCTCAGTAAAGAAAGATAAATTCTCTTCTTTTTTGACAGGCAAAAACAAACTCTTGCTGCAGATATTTTAAGCCTCGTGAAGAGGTCCATCTTCTTTCACTGCAGATCTTCCCATAATCCTCTATCCTCTTTGTATATCAGGGGTTTGGCACTATGCTGTAGGATAGATGATTGTGCCCACCACAAATAACTAAGTCCCATTTCTTTCTCTCTTTTAACTTTTAATGAGCAGGGCTTCCAGTTTCCAAGCCTGAGAACTACAATTTGGAGAGTGGAAAGGACCCATTGATGCTTGAGAAAAAAGTACCCAAAAGCAGCTATTCAGGTGAGTTAGATAGATGGGAGTCTTTAGAAATAAAAGCCCCTCAGGACAGTGAAGAATTGGCACTTTTCAGTGCTTAAGTAAGACTATTAGAAGTGCCTACATGCTTTTACTTTTAAAATATTTAAAATTACATAGCAATTTAAATATATTAAAAAGTCAAAAAATATATACATATGTTTTACATTAAACACATGCTAATATTTTTGCTTTGCATCTTTTTCCAATATAAAATAAATAATGTACAGGTCTATGAATTTTCACAAATTGAACACATTTGTGTAACTAGCACCCAAATCAAGAAACAACCTTACCAGAACCCCTAGAAGCACACTTATGTCCTCTTTAAGTCACCTTTTTTTCTTCTTAGAGTAATCTTATCCTAATTTTTAATACCTCAGATTAGCTTTAACTGTTCTTGAACTAATCATATAAACAGAATCATATTGTATGTATTCTTGTGCCTGGCTTCCTTCACTGAAGATTACTGTGAGATACATTCATGTTGTTATATTTAGTTGTAGTTTGTTCATTCTCATTGTTTTATAGTCTTTCATTATGTCATTATACCAGTTTATCCATTCTTCTGAGATGGACATTAGGGTAGTTCCAGTTTTTAGCTATATGAGTAGTGCTGCTATATTTGTTCTGTCTTTTAATGAACACATATATGCATTTCTGTTGGATATATACATTAGGTAGAATTGTTGGGTCAGAGAGTAGGTCCATGTTCACTTTTGGTACATACTGTCATAAGGTTTCCAAAGTAATTATACCAATTACATTTCCACTAGCGGATTATGTGAATTCTAGCTGCTCTGCATCCTTATCTGTGCCCAATATTGTCTGCCTCCTTAATTTTAGCCATTCTTATAGGTATGTGGTATCTTTTACTTTTTACAAAATAACGAAACATGACAGGTTTAGTTGAAGTCCTTTTATTCTTTTTCTCCTAGACATACTCAATTTGTGCATTTGGTATAAAACATCCTAATATTGTGTGTGTGTGCATGTATGTATATATATATATATATATATATACACACATACATGTATGAAAATGTATATATAGTATGTTATAGTTTAATAATTTACTTTTTAAATTTCTCCTTGTATTATATTAATCTATGTTAATACATATGAATTGTGTTTATTAATTTTAATTACTATGGAATAAGTCCATTGTATGCATAAACCGAACAGTTTATTTTTACTTCTTTGCCATCAATAAGAGAATTGCATTGATCGTCCTTTTATTGACTCCTTATGCTCATTTTAAGAGTTGGTTTAAGATGGATAACAGAATAAGAATAACTGTGTCTTAATGTATCATATATTTAGCTTTATTAAAAACTGCCAGAGTCCCACCACCATTCTGGTCAACGGTTGACACTATTAGATTTAGTAATTTTTGTCAGTCTTATGGGTATGAAATGATACATCATATTTTTAATTATATTTTATTGATTATGCCATTACAGTTGTCCCAAATTTTCCTCCTTTCCCCCCCTCTACCCAGCACCCCCCAGTCCCTCAGGCAATCCCCACACCTTTGTTTGTGTCCATGGGTTATGCATATAAGTTCTTCAGCTTTTCCATTTCCTATACTGTACTTTACAACCCTGTGACTGTTTTGTAACTAAATTGTGCTTCTTATCCCTTCACTTTTGTACTTCTTCCTCCAAAACCCCCTCCTACCTGCAGTCAACAAATCATTCTCCGTATCTATGATTCGGTTTCTGTTCTGCTTGCTTAGTTTGTTTTTTAGGTCCCATTGTTGATAGAGATGTATTTATTCTCTTATTGTTCTAAGTTTTGATCTCCTTTTTCTTAAATAAGTCCCTTTATCATTTCAGTGATGGTTTGATGATGATGAACTCCTTCAGCTTTTTTTTGTCTGGGAAGCTCTGTATCTGTCCTTCTATTCTAAATGATAGCTTTGCTGGATTAGAGTATTCTAGGTTGTAGGTCCTTGTTTTTCATCACTTTGAATATTTCTTGCCAATTCCTTTTAGCCTGCAAAGTTTCTTTTGAGAAATCAGCCAGTAGTCTTATGGGAACTCCTTTGTATAGAACTCCCTGCTTTTCTCTTGCTGCTTTTAAGATTTTCTCTTTAACCTTTGGCATTTTGATTATGATGTGTCTTGGTGTGAGCTTCTTTGCATCCATCTTGTTTGGGACTTTGTGTACTTCCTGGACTTGTATGTCTATTTCCTTCACCAAGTTAGGGAAGTTTTTTTTCCTTATTTTTTCAAATAGGTTTCCAGTTTCTTACTCTCTCTCTCTCTTCTCCTTCTGGCACCCCTATGAGGTGAATGTTGGTATGCTTAAGGTTATCCCAGAGGCTCCTTATACTGTCCTCGTTTTTTTGGATTCTTTTTTTCTTCTTGCCATTCCTGGTGGGTGGTTTTTTGCTTCCTTGTGTTCCAAATCATTGATCTGATCTTTGGCTTCATCCACTCTACTATTGATTCCCTATAAATTGTTCTTTATGTCAATTAGGGTATCCTTTATTTCTGACTGGATCTTTTTTATGCTGTTGAGGTCCTCACTAAGTTCCTTGAGCACCCTTATAACCAATGTTTTGAATTCTGCATCTGATAGATTGCTTAGCTCGATTATGTTCAGTTCTTTTTCTGCAGTTTTGTTCCATTCTTGTATTTTGGCCATGTTTCTTTGTCTCCTCATTTTGGCAGCCTGTCCTGTGTTTGTTTCTATGTATTAGGTGGAGCTGCTGTGACTCCCTGTCTTGATACTGTGGCCTAATGTAATACGTGTTCTGTGGTGTCCAGTGGCACAGCCTCCTCTATCATCTAAGCTGGGTACTCAAGCTCTGCCCTCTGTGTAGGCTCAGCTTGTAGTTGAGCCTTGATTGCTGTTGCCAGGTCAATGGGAGCAATTTACTCAGGCCAGGCAGCTGCAAGAACTGGCTGTGACCACTGACCACCAACCTCCAATCCACCATGGAGGATCATCTCTTCAGGTACCCACTCCACAGAGCCGGACCTACTTCAGCGGGGCTCTGGTAGCCACTTGATTTCCATCTGGGGCCACTTGACATAAGCTATAAAGCAATCTGCAGCTGGCTGCTTCTTGTACTGTGCTTGAAGGTGTCCTTGAGAGGCCAACTATGAACCAAGGCCAGCTGCTGTTTGTTTGAGAGGATTTGGGAAGATCAGAAGCATTAGCCAAGACAAGTCATTCATATGGAAAAGCCACTGTTAACCACTTGGGTAGGCCTGTAAGTTGGGTAGGATAGAGTCTTAGGGAATAACCAAGGTGAGGCAAACAGTGTGAGCCAGGTTGATGGAGTCTCAGATATGATTCTTCCTGTGCTCTGTGGCTCTGTGGAAGGAGGGCTCAGGAGAACAGTGGCCTCTGCCAGCATTTCTGTCTTGGTGAAAGCTCTTCCCCAGCTCTCACTTTGATGCCAGATACTTCATTTCCTTCCTGCATGCCACTGCTGCCTTTCAAGCTGCTGTTTTGGTGATGGAGCTCAGCAGGACTGAGTCGAAGTAAGTCTCTTTGTGGGCCTTTTAACAGAAATTGCCCTGGAATCCAGAAGTTTCTTCCACTGACTCTATCTCCATTGGTTTTTGTAGCCAGAAGCCACTGACCTACCTTCCAAGCACTGGAACCCTGGGCTGGGGTCCTGGCGTGATGCTAGAACCCCTTGTGCCCAAGATATCCCTCCCGATTTTTATTTGCCATACGTGGGTACGGGACCAGCCCATCCCACATTTCCGCATCTCTGCGTCAAGTCTCCACGCCACCTACCAGTCCAGTGGATGTTATATATTTCATACTTTTTAATTTATGTTTCTCTGGTTATGAGTGAATTTGAGTATTTCATATGGGTATTAACTATTTTGGTTTCTTTGTAAGATATCTCTTGATATTCTTTGCCTGTTTTTGGGCCATTCATATTTTTTTGATTTGTTGGGGTTCTTTATATTTCAGGTGCTGATAAATGACAGAAGTACCACTATAAATCAGTGAGGAAAAAATGGTTCCTTATTCAGTGGCTTGTTTCATTTTATTGTGTTTTATGCATACAGAATTTAAAATTTTTAATGTTATCAAATTTATCAATTTTTAATACTTTGTGCTGTTTGTGAATTATCTTCCTTATTCCAGTGTTGAAGGTAATCTTTATTCTAAAATGTTCAAGTTTTGTTTAACAGGTAATTTCTTTTGTACATGTAGTGCCATAGGGGACAAATTTTATCTTTTTTTCATGCTTACAGCCAATAGTCCAGCATTATTTATTTTAAAATCTTATCACTGATTTGTAATGCTAATTTTGTGCTAAATTCAGGTCCTGTATAAACTTGTGTCTGTCCCTAGGCTGTCTGGTGTATTTGTCTATCTGTTCTAAAAATGTACTGTTTTAATTATTATACTTTATAGTATGTATATCATAAAGAAAATCTACCTTAATTTTCTTTTATTGAGTATTGAGAGAGTTTTAAAATCTTCTCTGTGAGGTGGGTATGTCTGTTGCCCTGCAGGCCTGTTGATTTTTGTGATTGCTTACTAACCTCCATTATCCTTTTCTTTGTGGATGATATTGCCATTGTCTTAGTAATATATAAGAACTTCATATATGAGGTATATATTCTTTGTCATGTTACAGATATTTTTTCTAGTTTTTGCCTTTTAGTTTTGCTGTTGTACAATCTTTTATTTTCTGCGTCTTGATTAGTCTTTAGAAACACTCCAAGATTATAGAAATATTTGCTGTCTTCTAATATATTGGTCTTTTACTTTTTTTTTAATTAATTTATTTTTTATTGATTATGCCATTACAGTTGTTCTATTCCCCCCCTTCATTCCCCTCCACCCTACCTCCCCGTCCCCATTACCCCCCCTTTAATTTATGACCATGTGGCTCAAGTTCTTTAGATTCTATATTTCCATACTATTCTTGCTCCCCCATCTATTTTCTATCTACTGTCTGTGCTACTTATTTTCTGTACCTTCTCCCCCCTTCTCCTCCTCCC